ATCTGGTCTGCAGCCAATCAGGAGCGAGCGTTGTGTGGGAGGGATCTGGTCTGCAGCCAATCAGAAATGAGGATTGCAGGGGAGGGATCTGGTCTGCAGCCAATCAGGAGCGAGCACAAGTGGGGGGATCCCTTTGCCTGGGGGGGGGTCCGATCTCAGTCCCCCCCCCCCGCCCGCCCCTCCCCCCCCGGTATTGCCATTTGGAGTCGGGGGGGGGAGGGAACCCCCGGGGGGGGGTTGGAAGAACGGGGGGGGCGCGGGGGGACCCCCGGGAGTGACCCCTCCCCCCCCCCGGGCAGGTAAAGTGCAGGACGGGGACCCCTCCCCTCCCCCCCCGGGACGGGACACGTGGGTGGGGGGGGAGGGGCGGGCGGGGGGCGGGGACTGAGATCGGACCCCCCCCCAGGCAAAGGGATCCCCCCACTTGTGCTCGCTCCTGATTGGCTGCAGACCAGATCCCTCCCCTGCAATCCTCATTTCTGATTGGCTGCAGACCAGATCCCTCCCACACAACGCTCGCTCCTGATTGGCTGCAGACCAGACCCCTCCCCTACTCAAACTCACTCCTGATTGGCTGCAGACCAGATCCCTCCCCTGCAATCCTCATTTCTGATTGGCTCCAGACCAGGTCCCTGCCCTGTCCACGCTCGCTCCTGATTGGTTCTGGAACAGATCCCTCCCCTGCAATGCTCAACCCTGATTGGCTCCAAACCAGGTCCCTGCCCTGTCCACACTCGCTCCTGATTGGCCCCCGACCAGATCCCTCCCCAGTCCACCGCCACTCCCGATTGGTTCCACACCGGCCCCACACCTGCAGCCTCTCCTGATTGGCTGTGACTGGATCCCGCCCCAAGGCAGAGCGGCTCCCCATTGGATGGGGGCCGGCCCCGCCCCTCCAATCCAGAGCCACTCCCGACTGGAATGTGCCCGGATCCCACCTCGACCTGGAGTCGCTCCTGGCACTGGATTCAACCCTGCCCCTGTAGGATCCCGGCCCCGCCCCCAGCTCCTGATTGGACAGTGTCCAACCCGCTGCGATCCCTGATTGGCTCCAGACTCGATCCCACCTCGATCCGGGGGGATCCGGCATCGCCCCCCCCCCCCCCGCATCCCCCCCATTGCTCTGGCACCGGATCCCCCCCCGCCACCGCGGCTCCCCATTGGCTGCAGACCCGGCCCCGCCTCTGTGCTGAGTCACTCCTGATTGGCCCGAGACCTGGCCCCACCCTCCCGAGCGCTGCTCCTGATTGGCTCCCGACCAGATCCCGCTTCAACAGAGACACCCTGATTGGCCAAAGTCCAGGTCCCACCCCCTCCTGAGCGCTGCTTCTGATTGGCTTGAGACCAGATCCTGCCCCTCCTGATTGGCCTGAGACCTGCTCCCTCCTGATTGGCTCCTCACCCGATCCCAAACGAACTGAGAGCTGCTGATTGGCTCGAAATCAGACCCCAACTCAACCGAGTCGCTCCCGATTGGCTCGAGACCGGATCCCGCCCCTCCTGATTGGCTCAGCGCTGGATCCCAGCCCAACTCAAAGCTGCCCCTGATTGGTTCTCAGACCAGACCCCGCCCCACCGCGCCGCCCCTCCTGATTGGCTCCACGCTGGATCCCGGCCGCTCCCGATTGGCCGCAGCCTCGCTCCCGCCCCCCTCGGCAGCGCCGCTCCCCATTGGACGGCGGCCGGATCCCGGCCCCGCCCCCGCCGCTGCCCCCTCCTTAGTGCAAATGGTTCCCACGGGCGGAAAACGCGGAACGGAACTGGAAGAACGAGAAAAGCGGCGCCGGGAGGGGGGGGAAGACGCGACCCCCGACCCCCCCCCAACCACCCCACACCCCCTGCCCGGCCTCGGGGGGGCCCGGATGAACCCCCCCCCCTTCAGAGCCCAAAGTGCAAAGTGGGGGGTCCCGCGGCCCTCGCTGTGCTTGTCGGTAATAAAAACTGGGGGGGGGCGGTCGGGGGTGGGCTGGGGGGGCCGCGCTGCCCTCGGGGGGGGAGGGGCCGGGGGGGGGCCCGTCCGTGCGTCCGTCGGTCCGTCCGTCCGTGCGGCGACGTCACAGTCAGCTGACCCGCTCGGGCACAGGCGTCCGCGTGTCGACGGGCTCGTCGCGGGCCGGGGGGGGCCGCGGCACGGCCGCGCTGGGGGGGGGCGGCGCCGACGAGGACGAGGAGGACGAGGAGGAGGAAGAGGAGGAGGAGGAGGAGGAGGAGGAGGAGGCAGAGTCTTTGTGCTCGGGCTCCCCTCGGTGTTTGTAGGGCGCCGGGGGGGGCGGCGGTGGCGGCGGGGGGGGCTGAGTCTTAGGGGGCTCCTTGGCGCAGCCGTCGGGGGCCGCGGGGCCCCCCCTCTGCTCCGCGCACCCCGTCCCGCTCAAGTCCTGGGGGGGCGGCGGCGGGGGCGGCGCCGGGGGGGGGGCGGCGCTGGCGCTGTCCTTGGGGGGCTCGGGGGGCGGCGGCGGCGGCGGGGGGGGCGGCGTCGGAGGCGGGGGCGGCGCCGGGGGGGCCCCGCGG